GAAAAGTTTCAGTACTTCGAAGTTGGCATAAGTTGTCAAAACATTCTTGTTGTGATGACATTAATTACATTTTTCTAGAAATGGTTGTGCTATATTGAGAAAAATATAAAATGGATTGTTTTATTCATTCATTTATTTATTTCTATACCAACAGTCACACTCTTCAAATAATCAGAGAAGGAACGTCGAATAAATTGATACTTGCATATTGTTCTAAATGGAGACAATAACGTTGCCTCCTGTGCAGTTGATTCAGATAGGTTATGGTATTAAAATCTGCGTTTGATGATTGTTAATTTATTATTTCAATCAATTGGAACCAATATTCTTGAGACGTCTTTGGTGTTCAAACTTATAAACAATCTCACTGACCATCAGAATTATGGTTGCAATAACTATCACTGAATTTTATTCCATAAAATCGACCAAGATTCTTTTTACCACCATAATCAACAAATTGCTATTGTAACTCACACCTTATCCTATATTGATACAGAGTGGGCCTTTGAAAACGAAACAGAGGCTCTGTAGGTCGCCAAAACCGGATTATCAAAAAAAAACTGAAATAGGTCAACTACATTTTCGAGGGGGACATCTATCTAAAATATTTTCAGCCCTGCGGCGTTGCCGCTTCTAACGAAAAGAAGCAACAACTTTGTTATTTCAAATGGAACACCTTGTATTTTATTGCATTCTCAGATTCTCTCCGAAGAGCTGAATTCATCAATGCATCACACTTGGGGTCTAGCTGTAATGGTTTCAGGGATATGAAGTGTTCAAAATCGAGATTTTTCAACTTTAAATTTTTTTTGTGTCGAAACTATTCATTATTGGTCAAAACGGCTCTCATGTCCCTATCTCAACTTGTGATTTACTATCTACTGACATTTATTTGAAACAAATACAGGGTGTTTCAAGATTCAGAATTCTGATCACCCTGTATCTGTTCCAATTAAATGTTAGTAGATAGTGAATCACAAGTTGAGATAGGGACATGGGAGTCGTTTTGACCAATAATGAATAGTTTCGACACAAAAAAATGTTAAAGTTGAAAAATCTCGATTTTGAACACTTTATATCCCTGAAACCATTACAGCTAGACCCCAAGTGTGATGCATTGATGAAATCAGCTCTTCGGGGAGAATCTAAAAATGCATTAAAATACAAGGTGTGTCATTTGAAATAACAAAGTTGTTGCTTCTTTTCGTTGGCAGCGGCAACGCCGCAGGGCTGAAAATATTGTAGAACGATGTCCCCGTCGAAAATGTAGTTGACGTGTTTCAGATTTTTTTCATAATCCGGTGTCGGCGACCTACAGAGCCTCTGTTTCGTTTTCAAAGGCCCACTCTGTATATTCAGCAACAATTTCACAATGTTCAAGAAACAACTCAAGTACAAATTAATTACATTATGGCAATAGTTGCCACTTAAGGCAGCAATGTACTCACTACACTCAGATATATACAGGGTAAGTCATGAGGAACTGTAGATACTCCTACCTGAGGGGAATACCGAATGTCCATCAGAAAATGTCTTCTACACTTCCTTTCCAATATGTAGGGTGAATTATGAGATTTGGCAAAGACATCTTTTGGTCATAACTTCCCAACAGCTTCTTCGATTCGTCTGATTGTTTCATGGAATATTCCGCTACTAACTCTCTAATCGATTGACTTATTCAGAATCGGGAAAATCCGAGAATTTGATAGTTTACTTTATAGCGAAAAATTCATCCTGTATATCATTTTTGTGAACTGTGACAGGGAATTTTCCTAAGCCAGTAGTGTTTCTTCACGTATTTCAAAATTACTATTTCGTATACCTACTTATACAGGGTGTTTCAAAAAAACCTGACCCCCTTGCTAGGGTAGGTAGATCCCTGCAAAATAAGTTGGGTTTGCTCAGTGAAAAAATGTCTTAACGGCATCCGTTTCCATGATACAAGGTGTTGAAAAAATTACTTTTTTACACATTTTTCACGATTATGTCAAAACTACTGGAAACATTGTGATGAAATTTCGTACGGATGTTTCTTGAAATCTGACACATCGCATGAATTTGTTTTTATATCTGACTCTCGTAGAGGGCGCTAGTTACACGCGGTTCGTACCGAGTAGTTTAGAACATAACTTTTTTGAGGTTAGATTTCCCAATCCAAATATGATATGAACTTAAACCTCATTCAATTTTACACCAAAAAGGAACTCTTGGTGAAACTCGATACTATGTTCCGTTTTCGGAATATATTGATTTGAAAATATTGGAGTAGTATTGATGCTGGTATAAAATGAATTTTATTGAGTTCAATTACCTATTTATTCAGATTCAAAAACAATAGGATCATTCTTGTGCTGAAGTTATTGATGGAACAAAGAATCATAAGTAGAAAATTAAGAGATATTTGACAAGAAACATGAAATATTGAATAAGTTGGAGTGTTCAACATGTCCTACTTTTCGACGAATACACAATTCTATATATATTCTTCTCTTCTGGAGAATGTATTATTCTTCTAAACAGTTGAGGATCAGGTGTTAGGTCATTTTAGTGATGTTCAATTATGTCTCACAACTCTTGACGTGAATATACCTATGTAGCTTGGACTTTCTGCTCAAGATACAACAAAACTGTGTAATCCATGTTCTCAGTCAAATCTGTTTGGATGTTATTCTTGTGATTCATTGTTATATCAATGAGTTTAGCATCAGGAATGTATTGCTGTTTTCGGTTTTCAATAAATAGGTGATAATTTTTCATAATACTCGCTCTATTACATAGCTTTATACCAGCAACAGTTATCACTTGATCATTTTCAAATCGAAATATTTCGAAAACGGAACACAGTATCGAGTTTTACAAAGAGTACCTTTTTGGTGTGAAATTGAATGATGTTCAAGTTCACATCAAATTTGGATTGGAAAATCTAACCTCAAAAAAGTTATGTTCAAAACTACTCGGTACGAACCGTGTAACTAGCGCCCTCTATGAAAGTCAGATATAGAAACATCGGCATGCGATGTGTCAGATTCCAAGAAACATCCATACAAAATTTCATCACAATGTTGCCAGTAATTTCGACATAATCTTAAAAAATGTGTAAAAAAATCATTTTTTCAACACCTTGTATCTTGATAACGGATGCCGTAACGAAATTTTTTTACTGAGTAAACCCAATTTATTTTGCAGTGTTCTACCTACCCTAGTAAGGGGGTCAGGTTTTTTTGAAACACCCTGTATATGTAGTTCTGGAGAGAAAATTCTCAAATGTCGATATAATGACATATCACTACTGAACAAATTTTATTTCCTCAATTTTGTAGATTCGCATATACTAACTTACTGTTTTTTTTCTCTGTTATGGCTTGGATCGCACGAAAGGTAATCCCTATAATGTTCAAAGAACATCGTGCATTCCTAGGGAGGATAGAGACAGGAGGTCGGTGCTGGAATTCTTTTTGAACTTCTGGAGATTATTTATGTTGTTGGAAATACTTCCTCAGGCAATGAATTCCCGAGCCCAGCCGTTCTATGGATGAAGGAGTTTTGATAAAGTGCTGTTCGACATCTTTCGAGGTTGACAACGAAAGGATGTGCTGACTGGGCTTGTCTAGGTCGTCTGACTGTTATTGCTAGTGAAGGTATGATAGCAGAGATTTCCGAAGAACATTTTCCGTGGAAGTATCGATATAGAAAAGTGAAAGATCGCCGACCTTTCTACGGTGTTCCAATGATGTTAAAGAGTGAGTGAGTGTGGCGTCACCCACCAGGAAAATGGCTCTTCTCTGGATGGAATCTGAGAGCATTAGCGTATGTTTTCGTGCTGAACCCCATATGTGGGAACAGTATTCTAGAACAGGCCGTATCTGCGCTTTGTAGATCATGAGAAGCTGTTGAGGTGTAAAGTAGCTTTTCGCACGGAACAAGAATCCGAGTCTTTGTGAAGCAGCTTTTGCGATGGATCTGACATGATTATCCCATGAAAGAGTGTTGCTGATGGAAATACCGAGCATAGATAAGGTGGGCTTGGTGGGGATGGTGGTGCCAGACATAATAATATTATTTTAGGGCCCAGAATATGATCAATTTTCGTTTATCCGGACCTGAATTTCACTCATGACTGATAGGTGAGTCTCTTGGGTAGAAGGGAAGGTCTTTTATACCAAAGTTCGCAAAATTTACTAGGTGGTTCGTGATAATTTTTGTTATTCGATTGGGAAAACTGAAAATATTCCATTTTTACCTATCCAAAGGCATAAAACTTCTATTTCAAAATCAAAAATTTTTCAGACAAATAGCCCGCAAGAAATAGAAAGTACAGCATTATATTCAGTTTTTTGTGTACTTTCCAAATATGTCCAAGCAATATGATCAATATTCGTTAATACGGACCTGGACTTTCTCGTGACTGATAGGTGTGTCGCTTGGGTAGAAGAAGAATAAATTGTGTACCAAAGTCCAAAAGAATATACTTGATGGTTTGTGAATTACGGTCTGACAAAGAATTGAGTAAAATTGATAAAACACCCTACACATCATCGCATATCAACTTCTGAGACCTCACAAATATGGTATATTCAAAACCACCTTGACGAGTTCTACCCACCGTTGAAGTTTTTTTGTTTCCCAATGGGACCCCTTTATAGAATATGCAATGCAACTTGCCTTCGGAACGTTGGAGTTTTTTCTCCCAACTTCACTTACAAAAACGAACACGTTCTCAAAATGAGATAATGCAGATTTGAATGAGTATTTGAAACGATGAACAGAGCTCTGATGAGAGAAAAACGGTTTTTGATAGTCAACCAGTTTTGGTTAGTACTTCAAAATAATGAGTCAAAATATTTCACTGACCCATTGCATACGAAGCTATCTGTATAAGAAGTGTAAAAAGGGAACTTGCACTATTGGTTGTTTATAGATCAATTTTCTTCATCTTATGCATAACTATTGTTTCAGGATCATCTGTTATTCCATTTAACAATTATGGCAAACTAGTCAATATGTCCGAACCTTTTGACCAGAAATTGAATTTTGGAACTGAAAACGGTTATTCTGATACTGAACAGGAAAAACATTTCAACAGGAACACTGAGGAACTACCAAACAATGTAGATAGTTATGGATATACATCTTATAGATGTGAACCCAAACCACTACTGATGGATATTGAAATTCACGAAATGGAATTGAAAGACAAAATCTACAAAGATGTCGTCAAAATAGCGAGACAATCAAGTAAGTTCTATTGGATATTTCCGTTGAAGCAAATCGTGAAACTAATCGTTTTTAAAAAAAGAAATCACAACCTCTTCCAGCTGTGATTAAGGGAATGTCAATTAGAGTAATTCACCATAGTCGAATTTACTTTTCAATACAGAATGCGCGGATTGCAATTCATGAAGTATCAATTTCAATTCAAATAGTTTCAATGTTACCTCTACATTACCTACCATAGAGTGAAAAATACAGAATCATTTTTGGGGGTATATTTTCAAATGGCAAGCAACCTACTATTCTTGCACAAGGTGACTGAATACCACTAAGCATATTTTACATCGATCAAAATCAGACGAGATCCCACAATGGATGGCATTTCACATAACAACAAATCACTTTCATGCAAATCGAGGAAACTCAATGTTGCTCAACAATTCCATAACCTTCCCATTTACAGCCATTTATTTGAGATTGGACTAGAGACATTTCTCAAAACGAATAATCAACTTATTTTATATAATCTCTCGTTCCACGCATATATTTCGATTTAAATTAATTATTGAGACTTTGAGAATATTTACGAGTACATGCGCTCAGTGAACAGGGTTTCCAGGAAATCTCTGGGATTCATATAGAACCTTACAAAAAATTAAAAGACAAGTAGATAAACGTCGCTGAAAATCTGTTCTTCTTGAATAATTTTGGAAGTATCTATTTGGTATACAAATCAATTTAAATTCAATATAATGAATACTACTTTCTATAGGGTTCTTGAAATAGTGTCAATGAATGACATATTATTAAATGCTGGATACTAATCCATTTTGTACCAAAGATCCGTTTGCCTAAAAATACTTTTTTTTACTGCGACTTAATGAAAGTGAATGCATTATTCCTTATTCTTCTCATCATCGATGATTAACAAGATCACTTGTTTCCAGTTATAACTTGGAGGTATTCATCATACAGGGTGTTGAAAATCTGCGCATTAAAGATGAAACTCAGATCACCCATCACCCATCACTCCTGTTGAACCAAAAAGATGAAAATATTTCGAGTACACTATTTCAAGGAGACCTCATAGTTTCCCTCATATCAAGTCATCGATCATTTTCTTCGAATTATATCAGATACATTGGAAGTTAATCAATAAAAACCGATTTACTTTGAATTTTCAGTATCGAATTTCATTAAACAGTGGCGTAGTTACGGTCGTATGTCGCCACTTTTTTTTCCATAATTTTTCATAGATAGATGAAATGTCAAATTGATTTTCGATATCACTTAGGCTCATCGATATCTAACCTTGAAGTAATATCCATTCCACATGCGTTAATGTAGAGGTTCCTGCATGAGATATTTGCAAAAAACTAATGATATGCCTTGAGGCTATTGAGTAGAGACCCAACTTGCTGCGTATATACCATAACCGCAAAACACTGATCCTGCACGAGATATCAAAAAAATGTTTCAACTTCCTGAATATTTTTGAATGTTGAGAACATTGGAAACATAGTGAGGGTGAGCCTGGAGTAGATCGATAAACTTAATTTTTCATTCCATACATTAATTCAAAGTAAATAGTTTTTATTAAGGTGAGTCTCCAAGAGCATTACAATATTTTTTCTTGAACACGTATTTCTTTTATGCATAGTATTAATAAGCCTAATTGATGCCATGCACTGATTTGACATATCATCTATATCTATGAAAAATATGAAAGAAAATGTGCAGACATACGACCTAAACTACGCTACTGGTTCATAAAATTCAATACTGAAAACTCCAAGTAATTACCTTGATCAATCTGGAAAAGTATACCAAGTTCGAATTTCTTTCCTACAGGGGTTTCGAAGAAATTAATTCAAATCTTAATTTTTTCAGTACTTTTGACAGCCTGTATTTCAGATAGGATGTATTTTAGGATATACGTTGGTAGGAATTTTTCACCTCAAAACGAGGTGGGGAATCCGCATACGGAATTTGTCGGTCGTTTTCTGACTCACCCTGTATATATAGTTATTGCAATGCATCAATGTATATACAGGTGACCCATTCGAAAGCGGGCCACCCTCGTAAATATTTCATTCATGAAGCCATTTTCACAATTTTTTTTTAAATGTCTAGGAAAGGTCGGTCTCCTCAAAAACCGCTTGAGCTGTAACTTCATTACCATCATGTTTTCAAGATGAGAAAGGCTCGCAGAATTTTATTCAATTTTTTATTGGTTTAAAATGGAGGAGTTCCAGCTTGTTGCGTTTTTTATGCCAGATTTTTTTGTGGATATGTTTCAGATCCCAGTCCTGCTGCCCCCCATGTTTGGGAACGCATACCGTTAGTTGAAGGAAAAAAGAAGAAATCGGGCACAAAAATTTGCCGGTGGTGCCACGACATCGACGAAGTCACGAAATTCACAAAATATCAGTGCAAGCAGTGCTTAGGCGAGCCTGGGCTATGTGTTTATCCATGTTTCTTCAAGTTTCACAAAAATCTCCATGCCTGAATTGAATGTTAATCATGAAGAATAAATACAGGGTGTCCCAAGATTAGCCTGCCAAACTTCACTAGTGGCTTCTTCGACCAAAAATAAGAAGAAAAGTTTCATGAACATGAGTCGAGGAATGTCTCCTAAGGGAGTTACGACTCCTTGAGGGGGGGGGGTCCTGAAGATGATATTTCTTGAATATTTTCGAAACGCCACGTGATGAAATGATGCAATTTGGTACACAAACTAAACTTTCCATGCCCAATACGGTGAACATGAAATCATTTCAAAGTTCGATTCGTTCGATTCAGGAGTGTATAATACAGGGTGGGACTACATTAAATATTGCTCAAACTTCTTCGTATACATATTTTTTGACAATTCCATCTTGGATTATGGTAATCCACATCGTTTCACAAAAAAAAAAAATAATTTTGTTCTGCATCGATAAAACGTATAATTTTCGAGTGAAATTGTTGAAAAAATATTGATGCACTCACATCCTAGCTCACATCTAATGCATAACGATGCCAATTTCCGAATCATAGTGGCTATATAAAAAAATCAAGTACTTATTTTCACCAAACAACCTCAAAAAAGCGTAAAAAATAAAAAAATTATGATGGAAAAACTACTTCATTTTCGTGTATTTTTTCCATTTCCACTACGCCTTATCGCAATGTTATTCATAATATCCGAGAAATAACAATATTTTTAAATTGCTTTTACTCGATAATAATACATCTGATCGTCACGGAACAGGAGTTCCTTTTTTCTGTAAAAAGCTGTGAGATTTCATAATCCGAGATTAAATTGTCGAAAAATATGCATACAAAAAATTTTTAGCAATATTTAATGTAGTCCCACCCTGTATCATACACTCCTGATTGAAATTTCGAAATAATTTCATTTTCACTGCATTGGGCATGGAAATTTCAGGTCTTGTACCAAATTGCATCTTTTTATTCCATGGAGTTTCGGAAATACTCAAGAAACATCATCTTCAGGAGCACCCTTTGAGGGGACCGTATCTTCCTTAGGAGACATTTCTCAACACATGTCCATTGAGAATGTTCTTTCCATTTTTGGTCGTTAAAGCCGCTGGTGAAGTTTGGCAGGCTAATTCTGGGACATCCTGTATAGAGTAGTTTGCTATTCCACGGGTCTGAAGTTACTTTAGGTGTCACGATATAGGTATGCACTATTTATTGCACTTCTGGTGAACTGATCAATGAAATTAGTTAACTCGTCGTCAGCTTTAACAAAATCTCGATAGGGAATATTATGTTTGAACAATAACAATAATAGTTATTTATGTACCATGGACAAAAAACCGTCTATTATAGTCGAGTCTGCAAATTGATAGCCGAGGCTAGCAATCTGGCGAGACAATAGACAGTTCTTCGCCGAGGTTTATATTACATTTTTTCGTTGACCTCAAACACTTATATCCACATCACAGGTCCTATTTTCACGAAAAATCTATCGGATTTCGTGAATTTTCAGTTCGACAATAGCAAATGACAGCCGACTCACTCTCCACGCGGACCAGGGGTGCCACTTCGATTTTTACTCCATCAGTAAATACCTAGTCAAAAATTCAGATCTATTTTTTGCTATACGAATTTCAAGAAAGGATAATAAAATAAACCTATGACGTCAAATCATTATGTTCTTCTAGTAAACAGAAAAGTAACCCATTTTCAACAAAATAGCAAGAAAAAAAACAAACATTATATATTTGTGTACTCCAAGAGATAAAAAAAAAGAAAAGGAATCATACTCAAAATTCTCAATTCAAAAATAATCGCAAATATCACATAATACAGTCACACATGTACTTGGTTTGAGTATATGAAAAACTGGAACGACTATTGAGAGTTAACAAATAAATACAAAACAACTCGTCAATAACAAAAATTGAACTTGAGAAATGAACAGTCGTTATAATAGTGATAAGTAGTTATAATAATATAATTTGTACTGAATCAGATAAGGTATTGTCCTTTTTCGGTTTAGAAATATCAATAGTACTTACCAATATGATGATTCGATACTCATTTTGTTAAATTAATTCAAACAGAGCGTGCTAAAAAATCATGCAATTTATAAGTGGTATATGACTAACTTACGATCAGAAATGATATAGGTAATTATGATAATTAATAAGTGTGAACATATTTCTCAGTAGGTTATGAAATGTTTCAGTTGATCAGTAGATCAATATTATGCAAATCAAGAGATCTACTGGAGATTCAGTAGAACTGGCAACCCTGCAGCAGACGAAAAGTGTATGCGGACGCAAAGTAGGTGGGAAATATTTGGTGAATTGTTTGGGAACTAGAACGTAAAGTGTGATTTTTTGTAGGAGTCGACGAAAAAAAATATTATTGATACGATTATCATTATAAAATACTGTATGAAAATGAATCATATCAACACGATTTTTTAGTTTTTCACTAGACCAAGACACCTTTGACTGTCGATCGCGTGATGTGTAATATGACGTTTCACAATGAATAATGTTCATTGAGCGTCAGTCTAAATAAAAGTTCGGAGTCAAGAGAACAATATTGATTAAATTAAAGATCCCTGTTATTTTCGTTTTTTTTTGTGTGTGTTTTTAATCGTCGAAAAACTGCTGTATGTCACAAATGCAGAAAACGTTTTAGCAGCCCTTAGCTACCAGCTGCTTTTGGCTTTTAGTTATTTCAGCTGCCTTTCCTTCTGCCCTTGTGACACGATATACTATATTTTTACTGAACATTATCTTTTGACCTGTATTTTTCATAATTCAAGTTCCTTCGATTCTCAAACTTGAAAAAATGTTGTGTTAAGTAATAAATAAAGCACCTAGTCAAAAAGTGTATTTGTATCTATACACCTGAGAACTGTTGAAAAGCGTTATTTATTATTTTGTTTTTCTCGAAACAATGATGAAAAAATCATCATCAGACTGTAACCTGTGTAAATGAATAGTCTTGAATGGACATAGAATATGCTATTTGGATATTAAAATCTGATACCAAGATCTCAATCTCAATTTTTTTACTGCCCACTCGTCCTACAAATTGAATTAAATATGGTAATCCATCGGGCGTCTGCCTTCTAGAAAATGTTAGTTGTATAAATGAAAAACAATTCGATTTATTTTTGTGAATAAGTGAATTAAAAATTCTCTTGCTAAGCGAGTATTCTTGAGTTGCCACACATGGTGGAGGCACCACCTGAGTAGAGACATTGAAATGTTGATATAAATTCGTCGAAATGTTATCAAAAATAAAGAAGCTTGTTGAAAGTGTCAACTCAATTCTTACAGTGTTCTCTACCATAAGTACAGGGTGGCTGGAATTCGAGCCTCATCATTGGGATCTCGTGAACCGTGAGAGATACAGGGTCGGTCAAATTATGGCAAAGTTGCGCAATTTCATGCTTAACAAAATGCCGTTCTGCAACTTGAAAAATTCCGAATACTTTCGGAGATATCCGAAAAAAATCGAAATTCCATAAAATCGTTTTTATTTTCTTCTGGCGTTATTTGAAGAAATTAATCAATATGAATAACACTTTATCAAGGCCACTTTTTCTTCCCTACAACATGGCGTTCTCAAATTTGAAATCTGACGTTTCGTCTTCCAGAAACCATCATCAACTTACTTTTTTTAAATACGGACCTGGATTTTTTATTTCTTTTTTTGTCACCTTCAGATAGCCCAAAAACTTTGAGAAATCACAAATTTCGATTTTCAAATGTTTCAATGACTAAAATTCACAGTGTCTTTATTTTTTCCAAATACTCAATGCAATTACAGAAAATGGAAAGGGCGGCTATGCTTAGAGATGAAAAGTTACAACCACTCGTCAAAGTTTGACAGTTCAAGGTTTTGAATAATTTGCGCGATTAAAAATGGTGTTTTCCAATTCAGAAAAACGTGATATGGTCCGAATTTATTATAGTGCTAATAGAAACATGCAAATTTCATGTGAGAGATATTTACAGCAATACCCCGAACGACCACAAACGCATTATACGTATTTCAATAATTTGGACAAGAATTTGAATCTGTATGGTAGTTTTAGTAAGCCCCGAAATGCGTATGGTGGAAGTTTTGGAGCTGAAGATGAAGGAGCTGTTATAAATGCGGTAAGTTTCGAAAAGAAATAATTTATATTTGCGATAAATTTGATCGAGAAATTTTGAAGGTTACGGAAAATCCCCGAGGTTCCACACGACAATTTGCTCTAGAATTGAATATGCCTAGAAGCCGAATTCAGAAGATTCTCAAAAATCATAGGTATCATCCTTATAAATTACATGTCAGCCAAGAACTAAGACCAGGAAATAATGAAAGAAGGCTAGAATTCTGCAATTGGCTTGATAGAGAATTACAACAGAATGAGGATTTTTTAAATAACATTATCTGGACTGATGAATGCAATTTTTCTACGAGCGGCCCTTTCAACAAAAATAATAAGCCTTATTATGCAGTGGAAAATCCGCACCAAAATCAGCAAGTGCGAAGGCAGGGACGGGCATCATTCAATGTCTGGGTGGGACTGTATCGAAACAGAATCTTGGGGCCAATTATTTATGATGGGAATTTAAATAGTAATCGGTACCTTCATTTCATCCAAAATTTAGATGCTCTTGAAGACGAGCCGTTAAATGATCCAGCGCGCGCTTACTGGCAATTTGCGAAGACGCATACGGAAATGCCAAGAGGTATGCAAGGGGGACTATTCGAGCATTTACTTTAGAATTTCATTTTGTTCTTATTACAATTTGGTTACATAGTTCACATATTTTTTACCCTTAGTTATATTACTAATGCATAATAACTCGAATAATAATGTTCCAAAAATAGTTTCGGATCAAATATTTTGAAAAAATAGAGAAACTGTGAATTTTAGTCATTGAAACATTTGAAAATAGAAATTTGTGATAGCTCATAGTTTTTGGGCTATCTGAACGTAACAAAAAATGAAATAAAAAATCCAGGTCCCATTTGAAAAAAGTAAGTTGATGATGATTTCTGGAAGACGAAACGTCAGATTTCAAATTTGATAACGTCATGTTGTAGGGAAGAAAAAGTCGCCATGATAAAGTGTTATTCATATCGATTAATTTCTTCTAATAACGCAAGAAAAAAATAAAAACGATTTTATGGAATTTCGATTTTTTTCGGATATCTCCGAAAGTATTCGGAATTTTCTGAGTTTCAGAACGGCATTTTGTTGAGCATCAAATTGCGCAACTTTGCCATGATTTAACCGACCCTGTATCTCTTACGGTTTACGAGATCCCAATGATGAGGCTCGAATTCTAGCCACCCTGTACATCAAAAAAGTTTGGACCATATACTGGCGGGATAAACGAAAACTGTGCGATGTGCTTACTCTGCCTAAGAAGCTACTTACTGAGGCTGTATCTCGTGTGTTCTCGCCTACTTTCTATAGTAGCCGTAGGAGAAGACTTATTATCTATTTTCCGAAACAAACCTATAGCTTTTTTGAATTGGCCGTTACTTGATGGAAATCCATAGAAAATGTGAAAACTTCACAAACAATGAGATTTCCACAAAGTTCTCAATCACACGACATGTTCCGCTAACACAGTAGCTTCATCAGGTGAAATACTGGTACAATAAGATCAAATATCATTTTATTATACCATTATTTCACCTGATGAAGCTACATATCGACAATATAAGTAGTTGCATATAAATATGCTTGATGTGTCCATACTCTTTACTTACACTTGATGCATACGTAGCCTGAAAGGATTATATACTTCAGAACTCATTCATAACTATGTGTTGACTTTCTGCATGACAGGAATATGAGGTAATTATTCGTTCTCTACTATACGTTCGAAATGATATGGCAGGATGATGTGATCACAAAACTTTTCTTTGCTTCGATGGTGTTCATACGCTTTTCTCTGCTACTTCTATTCTCTTCATATTCGTTCATTCATTTGCCCATCTGAAGCCGTTTTATATTTTTGGTTTGTTGTTTTTTTTTATTTATGAATCACTTCCAGGTTACATTCTGTTCGATTTACCAGAATACAGCTGTCCAAACTGCTACAAGATATATGCAAAGAAATCGACATTGGCTAGACACATCAGCTATGAGTGTGGAAAACCCCCTAGATTTGGTTGTTCCATGTGTTCGTACCGAGGTTTCCAAAAAACCCACGTGGAACGCCATTTAGCCAAGAGACACGATTTGCACGTCAAATACGAAATCAGGAAACACATCGTGACTTACGGTCATCAGACTAAATGACCAAACATTTTTGAATCTATTCAGCTGACTACTGAAAGATTCCTTACATGTAATCTTGTTACTTTTAAAGCAGATTTTACGAACAATTATCAGATTGTGAATATGTTCATAGTCTTTGAAAAGCAGAAAATTAGTACATCAGGACGTTTGACATCGAAAATAAAGAGTATTGAGAATAACAGTTTTTATTTTTCTGACATTGCTTTGGAAAGTATACTGTTTCCAAGGTCCTGTCGATTTCATTGAGACAGTATTGCTATTTTTCCAAAACAGTAAGAGATAGAAAATTGATCAAATTAGACAGAAGTTGTGTGATTTGGACTTTTCCAAACTGTCGTGTCGCAAACTGATAATATGTCAGCTGTTCCTGGAAAACATAACTTGAGGAAACTTGTATTAACTGATTTTGTTAACATCAATTTTCTTCATTAGTTGAGAAAGACATTCGACATTTTTTGTCAACAGGTGATGAATCATGCTGCTAAAAAATTGGGATCTTCAAGAATACACTCCTTTATTTTTGAAGATTCACAGTGCATCAGCTCTATTTTTTTCAATCGGTTCCATTTTTTGTTCTCAATTTGTGCGTATAAAGCAAGTGAAATGAATTTCTTTGTTTACCATAAGAATATAATTTTTGAGAAACCTTAAATAAACATTAAATGAGTCCCAAACAGCAAACCGGCTGACGCCCCACAGTCCAGAAAAAACGTTCAAAAGAGTCGGAACTGACAACAACGCATTATCAAAATATTTCAAAAAATTTCAGGTATGGACCACTGTGACCTAACAACATACACCTATTAAACTTTGAAACTGGAATATTGAATTTGAAAAATGTATTCCGGATATGACAAATAAATAACTGAAATAAAATGCCATTACATTTTCCATCAGATTTTTCTCAATATTGAGTATCAAGGCCAAGACAAGACCAATACTGGAATCATGGTCTCGGCTTGCGAAGCCCTATTCACAGCAATTTTATTATGATGAGAAAAAATAACAGTCGCCGTTACTACAATATTAATACTTCTTCATTGCCTGGTATAACACGCTATAGTCTTGGAGCTGCAAAAGAAATCAATTTTCCGATTGATAAATCGATATCTTCTACCTCATTGAACTGAAGTAACATTATTGAGAACTGATCGGGATATCTGACAGATTTTCAGTGGTAGAGGCAGCAGGTATTGCCGTGAAGGGTTGAAAAATATCGATGCAACGTACGATTGATAAAGCGCTCAATTTTTGTGGCAAGGTAGCCGATTATGTGTTTTTTCAATTAGAAACTATGCCAGACACATTGAGTGGTGAAATCATTCCGCCAGACATGTCGAACAATACTCTACCAAAACTCGTTCGTCTATGGAATTATTTTCCAATGCAACTATTACCAAGATTTTATAACATTCACGTTTTAAAAAAAATCAACAACTACCTTCTCTTCCGGTCCTCCCTAGGATCGCGAAATGTTCCACGAACATTATTGGAATTGTCGTTCGTGTGCTCGAAGAGATAAAAACGAGGTGCGTGAAAACGACACTCCATCGTCCGATAAATAGAGATTTGGGCCAATTTTTTTGGTTTTTTGTTACGATAGAACCTCAGTTACCTAAAATCATTTTCATATCTATAGGGTGTTCAAATTCCAAAATATTGGCTGATAATGAGTCTCTATTAATTGGGACACCTTGTTATCAACTGCATTTCAGAAAGCATCATCAAAATTGGTAAACAACCTTTACTTGTTTTCTGTATTAGTCAATTTGACTACACGGTTGGGAAGTTATTCAACTTGAAAAAACTTGACGAAATCAAAGATGCCGAAACTTCATTATTTCGATTGATATACCCTGTATTTTGTACGTTTCAGGATCCACTCTACCTTCAATTTCTTTCGAGTATGTCCTATAAAACCTATAAGTATTACCGTTTTTGATATAAATTGATTGATTAACAAATAATTGTTGATTTTATAAAGGAACTTGTTATATTTGTGCATTAAATACATATTTTGTGATACCAACATAAAACAATATTCTTCAAGGAATTATTCATGTAACATTTTTATATTTACCTTCTTCGCATTCTAGTGCATTGCCAAATTAAAAAAACACGTATAAAAATACGTACTTATACAGTGTGTTCCACTTACCATTCTCACCATTGGTATCTTTTTAACGGTGAAAGATACGAGGTCGGTTAAATGACACCAAATGTGGAGTTTGTCAAGGCCAACTATAATGTGAAGAAATATTTCGATAAAATCTATTCGTTTTTGTTTTATACGCAAAAAACAGATTTTGATCATTTTTATGTCTCCTCCGTAACTTCTTTATTTATGAAAATATTCAAATAGGAATTTCACATTCTCATATCAGTTTTTCAAAGTGATTTCGAAAAAAATATGAAATTTATACCAACTCTTCTAGAATTTGAGATATCAGCACCAACTTTAGTTTTTCAAATGTAGGTCATAGCTCACTATGACTTAGTTACAAATAACTTTTTTTTCTCTTACAGATGATATGTCGCAGTAATAGTTTCGTGTTGATAACAACAGAGTTATCGTCATTTATACGAAAACAAAAAATCATTCGGAAGCCGCCATCTTGAATTTATGAATTTTAACGAAAAAATCATGATCTCCGACCTCAAAAACCTCCACTTACCAATTTTGAATGGAATCGGATCAAATCTTGTCCGCCATCTTGGAGCAGCCATTTCTTTTTATTTCAACAAAAATTCCATAATGTATTGTCACCGAAATTATGAACACCTGCCAAATTTCAAGTTAATCGGAGTTATGGAATTTTTGTTGAAAATAAAAAAAATGGCAGCTTCAAGATGGCGGACAAGATTTGGTCCGATTCCATTCAAAATTGGTGAATTTGAGGGATTTTGAGACCGGAGATCATGATTTTTTCGTTAAAATTCATAAATTCAAGATGGCGGCTTCCGAATGATTTTTTGTTTTTGTATAAATGACGATAACTGTGTTGTTATCAACACGAAACTATTACTATATCATCTGTAAGAGAAAAAAAAGTTATTTGTAACTAAGTCATAGTGAGCTATGACCTACATTTGAAAAACTAAAGTTGGTGCTGATATCTCAAATCCTTGAAGAATTGGTATAAATTTCATATCTTTTTCAAAATCACTTTGAAAAACTGCTATGAGAGTGTGAAATTCCTATTTGAATATTTTCATAAATAAAGAAGTTACGGAGGAGACATGAAAATGATCAAAATCTGTTTTTTGCGTATAAAACAAAAACGAATAGATTTTATCAAAATATTTTTTCATATTATAGTTGGCCTTGACTAACCCCACATTTGGTGTAATTTAACCGACCTCGTATCTCTCACCGTTAAAAAGATACTCATGGTGAGCATGGTGGGACACACTGTATATTTCATTTTGTTGGATATGAAAAGTTTTGAATTTTATGCAAAGATGGTTTCTTTATGAAAGAAACCATTTATATTGAAAATGGCAATATTCAGATATAAAGTTGAGGTAACGTGAAAAATATATCCATTCGAAAATATAATGAAGTTTTGGCATCTTCAACTTCAAATTAATGTAAAAATATCACAAACGATAAGATTCCTGAAGTTTTTACATTTGCTATGGATTTCCACCAAGTAACGGCCGAGTCGATTCCAAATCTTCAACTTCGTTTAGTTTTTCCGTCTATCATTGAGACAGAGTGTTCAATATCCTTCACTGATCTTGTATAGGAACGAATGGAACACAGCTTGGTCTCTACTTATGTGGATTCATTCATTTCCAATAACCAGATGAAATTCACAATTCACAATAGGTACATTTTTTTATAGGTCTTTACAAAATCACTTTCACACAAAAAATTGAATAACTTGGCAGCCGTAGAGTCACATTGACGAATACAGAAAACAAAATACAGTTGTGTATGAATTTCAATGGTGCATTCGAATATGCAATTGAAAACAGGGTGTCCCATTTGAAAAAACTCCTCATCTTTCGATATTTTGAAATTCGAACACCCTATAGATATATATGAAAATAATTTCAGGTGACTGAGGTTCTATTGTTAAGGAAAACGAAGAAAAATTGGCCCAAGTCTCTATTTATCGGAGGATGGAGTGTCATCTGGTTGAGTGTATGAAAGTATTTACCCATTTCACACATGGGCAAACGCTAACTCTGCATTTGATAGTAAGTATCGGCAATGAAGGTACCTACATAGATGTATAAGAGAAAAGTCTACAAACGAATTAACTATGAAATCACATAAGGTAATATTATTCGCGTGGAAATGGAGAACATGAGTGACCATGGGTGACCAGGAAAACAAAATTATAAATCAAATAAAAAGGAAAAACCCATAGCCCAATTGGCCTTAAAGCGGGTATAGCCACTCAACCATCCAGGAGAACCATGGAATGATGAATTGAAAGAACAACCTCTTAATCGACATGATTAAATGCAGAAGGCACTGAAGGCAGAGACGATTACAAACGTAGTATGTTTGGAGTTGTGAAGAATTGCCTAATTTCATATCTGGACCAGCTTCATTGTCGTAACTCGGGCACGTCTGAAATTTTGTTAAATTTCTTCGGTTGAATATCGCTATACTATGTTGACTTTCTGTGAGGACGTTTACTGGTTAGACGTTTCATGATATCAATCTCCTACAAGAAGAAAACTCACTGATATGTACGCAGTGAACCATGCAAAATAATGTCCTAGAATAAATCCCAAGGGGTTTTAATGGAACCTTCTTAATGATGGCACACTACCAATCACAATCGAACTCTTATTTGATTTTTCAGTGGTCGACCTCTGACTGCATGTTGTTTTTCAGAATCAAGATTTCCCTGTCCAAAATGCCCTAATAAGTCTTATACAAATCTGAAGAATTTGTCCAGACATAAATCAGTGGAGTGCGGTAAAGAGAAGAAATTCAAGTGTTCATATTGCAAATACTCTTTTTACTATCGTTCTGACCT